TTTAATTTAAAAGATAATGTAAATTATATTAAATTAAATTATTTAAATAATAATATGATAAATTACAATATAGTGAACCAAATTATATAAATTAGGCGAAATAAAATTATAAAAATAACTTATTATAATAAATACAAACATGATAAATAAATTTAAAAATTTAAGTCAAAGTAATAATATTTATTGTATTTATATTTAGATTATTTTTATTTTATTATTTATTTTAATTTATATTATTCCATATTATTTTATTGCATTGTTCATTTTATATTATTATTGATTAAGATTTTTATTTACTTTAATTTATCATAATTATTTATTTGATTTATTATTTTATTTTACTTTACAATTTTTAACTTTATTATCTTATAATATTATTATATTTATTTTATTTATTTTTATAATACCCAAGTGTCCCAACAGGATAATAAGTTTGACACTCGGGCTCACAGGGGCCAACGGCCAAAACCAAAAACACAAGACACTGACAACACTAAAAAGAAAAACACTAAACAAGAACACAAATAATCTAAAATAAACTATTAGCCCTAACGAGCTATCCTGAACCAACAGTGAACGATCGACACAAGACAAATCCAGGCCAAAGAGTTTGCTACCGAAACTGCAATCAAGCCTATACAGTAGAAGAAACCTAACCCCGTACCAGTCCCCGAATCGACCCATCAATAACCGAGAGAGCCAAGTCCACCCCACACCGATTCCACCCGAACTCTTCTAACACCACTAGATGAGGCCGATAAAATCTCCCCCGCCGCCTAACACAACTAGTCAAACGGGGGATTGTGCGAGAGAAATGGCCATCACCCCGACCACCGCAACCAATACGCCGCAGCCACCGGAGTCCCGTCCACCCATAGACCCGCGCACCGCCCTACATCTCCACAGACACCCCGACCAGAGGCTCCAACCCACTTGAAAAGACGGAGCTCCGCGGGAAAAAAGACATACCGACAATCACAGACAAGGGAGAGACAGTGGACTTACCATCACCAATTAGAGAATCGCCGGCAATGGAGGAACTCCACCACCAAGCACCGATCGGGAACGGCGCAACCGCTTGAATCCCTGTCTGCAACCGAGAGCTAGAGCCCCAATCCTGGCCCATCCACCGAGAATCAGAAGCGCGCGATGTCAAGGGAGGCCAGGACGGTCATCGACGACCCCTAGCCGAGACTATCCGACACCGAGGAAGGCGACTAAATATGCATATGTATATTTATTTTAAATATAACAAATATGCATTATGAATGTACTAAATATGCACTATGGATGAACTACATGTTCTTTTCGTATGAACTAAATATGCATGATGAATTAACTAAATATGCATTATTATTAATTTAATTTAAATATAACAAATATGCACTATGGATGAACTAAATATGCATTTCGTAACTAAATATGCATCATGAATGAACTAAATGTGTACTTGTTATCGACTAAATATGAATCATGAATGAAATAAATATGCATCATGTATATATTTAATTAAAATATAAGAAGAGGTAATCAAAAAAGAAAGAAGATGCGGTATTCTGTTTCCGTTCTTGACCGAGTGCGAACTTCATTTTTTTGCCCAAACCTGGTTTTTTCATTTTGAGAATCATTTCGAAAGAGCAAGAATAAAAAATGACAGTCTTGATGAAGTAATGGCGGGTGAATTGATTGAAAGACTTTTTCAGAAGTATTCAAAATATTCCCGAAACTGAGACTAGTCCCGCGCATCTACCATTATACCCGCAATGATCGGCCCCGTTGTGGTTTGATCCAAGAAGGGTTTATACAAACCAATTCTACAATGCATTTCGAATTAACTAAATATGCATTATGAATGAACAAATATGCATCATGTATATATTAAATTATATATAACAATTATGCACTATAAATGAACTACATATGCACTTGTTATCAACTAAATATGCATCATGAATGAACTAAATATAAAATATGCATCATGTATATAATAAAAATAATAAAATATTATATCAAATTAATTATAAAATAAATATGAAAAAATAATATCAACTATGCACTATGATGAACGAAAAATACAATATGTGTGAACGAAATGCAGAAATTCTATGGTGCCCAATGAGGCACCATAAGGCATAACATAACTCTGGTGTGGCATCCTTAGCATCCTATCTGTAAGATTTACGTGGCAAACATTGCAAAAGAAATAGAGAAAGACAAANGTCTAAAAACATCAATCTGAATTCTGAACAATCTGAAGAAGATTAAGTTGTTTTACTTTCATAAAAATCACAAGCTAGCACAATAATATAAAGATGAAAGCCTCTCTTGTCAATAACCAAGAAATCACCATAATTTATATTACTTTTTTTTATTTATTTTTATTATCTATTAACTGTGTCTTGTTCTTTTACACTTTTGTGCTTTGAGTTTTTTTTAATTATTATTAAGTATATCTATTTTTAGTGTTTTTAGCATATCTATTATATTTTTTTCCATCTTTTCTTTTAGATTTATTTTTTTTTTTTAAAAAAACAATTGGATGACAGACCTTTCATCATTTTTGTACCAAATTTCTTCTATTTCGACACTTCCTATTTTATTTTATTTTATTATTATTATTTTTTTTTTTTGTAAATTTTGTAATTTCAAATTCATTGAAGAAATCCCGTATTTATTTCCTACCTTTTTCTTTATGCCTTTTTCTTTCATAATTGGTTGCTGGACATCACATTTGGACGTCACCTCAGATTTATGACATGCTTTATGGGGCGGGCACCATAGAATTCTTGGAACGAATTGTGCATCTTCCATGAACTTAATGTACAACAATTAAATATACATTTTATACTAATAATTATTATTGTTATTTTCTTATCCCCAAGTACTCACCGCATCCGTCACTGATCCCCATCTCCTCTCTGTTTCTCCTCCTTTTTTTCTTCTTCCCCTTCTCAAAATTACAAACCAAAAACTGCAGAGCTCTTTCTCGTTCTTTTATTTATTTATTTATTTTTTCTTCTTCTTCCTCTCAAAATCGAAAGCGAGCTCGCCGAGATCTGGTATCGTACGAAGCCGTAGAGACGCAGAGGCAGAGATTGGCTGGTAGCGCATTAATCGTGGAGGCCTCACCGCGCTTCCTCACCAGCATTCCGCCGGCTGGCCGGCTGTTGTGGACGAAGCTCTATCACGTGCAGTGGCGGATCCAGAAATTTCCATTAGCCTGGACAAAAAATAGTTGATTTTTTTAACCATATTGCACAAAATACTTATATTAACATTTAAATAAATCATTTAAACAATCGGGTCTTGAGGTGTTCCCTTTTCAAATTGACTTTGCACTCAAAAATGAAATAGAGAATAAAGTCTGGTTATTTGATTTCACATTTTTATTATTGTTAAAAAATATACCAAAAATATTTTATAATCAATTTTCCTTCATTTTTTGTAATAAGTTATAAGCAAGTCATTTTGAAATATAATTTATTAATGTAAGAAAAGTCTAAATATCATCATTTGTATTTCTGTTATTTTATAAAGTGTTCCTGTGAATTATGTTATTACTAGAGTTTTTCATTGTCAACTATCAACACTTTGTAATTCTATTTGTTAGTGTCTAAGGATTCAAAATAGTCCATATAAATATGAACCTCTATCTAGAACTTTCAAATTTGAACACTTGGCTAACTTAAATTGCAAATATATTTTAAAATTTAATAACATTTATATTTGTTATTGTTTTTTATATATGATAAATGAAATAGTCATATTTTGACGATCTATAATTTAACATTTATATCGTATATATAAATTAAAATAATTATATCTATTTGATCTCTCTTAATAAAAACATAAATATCCATCAATTATAATTGAAAAACAATAAATATATCTGTCGAGCCTAATGTAATATAAGATTGTCGAATATGACAGATGAGGTGTATCATTTTAAATAGAAAAATAATGTTATTTTGTAAGAATTATTTATAATTTTAAAATAAATAAATGTATTTAATATTTTTACAAATATTAAATATAAAATTTTAATTTTAACTATATAAATTGTGTATTAGCACCAAAAATCCAGCCTAGGCTGGTCTCTATGTAGATCCACCATTGATCACGTCGCATCATCTTCGCTCGCCGGTTGGCGGCAATTAACTCCGACGAAAGATTTATTTTTAAATTATTAGTAAATTTGGTGGGTTGAGGAGTAGATTGCCATGACTGGTCACTGGCGTCAACCGAACGTGCTGGCGGTGCTAGATCTGAGATGAGATGTGGCACCGACAACAATGACGCACTGGAACTGGGGTGGGGCTAGAGCTGTCCGTCAGAAAACAGGGACGCTGGGACTTCTTCGTCGGACTGTGGGCCGCGGGTTGAAATTGCTGGACTGGGGGACGTGCTGCCAAGGACGGAGACTGGGCTGAGGTCGGGATGATGTCGCTGGACTGGAGGCTCCGGTATAAGGTCGCCAGACTGGACGTCGGTGGAAAACGAGGTCGCCGGAATCGCCGTAAAAAAAGGATCGTCAGTCAACGGCCGTGACCGGCTGGTCAACGACATTAAAAAATTAATTATTATATATTTATTTTAAATATATTAACAATTACATTTATTAGTTAATTGATGTATTTTTCAATTACTTAATATGAGTCAGTGATCAATACAAAATCAATGACTATGATTGAGTCTCATTTTAAGAGGTGTCCTCGTTTGGTCCACATTATTACTCGTGCACATGCATGGATGAGATCAATTGATATTAAGCATTAAATAAAGTTTAAAATCAATGTCCAAAAAAATTGAATTATTAAAGATTATAAAAATTCTCATTATAAATCCCTCTCTATATTAATAAGCGGTAGTTTGGGGGTTTCTTTTGCTGACACGTGGCGTTTCCTATTTTCTTATTTCCATTGTACCCTATGGCCCAAAAACTTTGAGTAATGTTGGGCTGTGTTTTTCCAATTAAAAGGCCCAGTTTTTCATTATGCGGGCTAAGGTTTTGGGGTGTTCGCGTGTAGCCAGAGCGCCGCCGTGTCGCCGTCTTCCCTATCTGATTTCCCGGTGCTCCACACCACACGGAGGTTGTAGACGAGCTTCAGGGACTTCAGCGGGTCATGCTCCCATGCAAACTTCAGGCGCTCGGTCAGGGTCTCCGATAGCGTGTCGGGGATGACGTGGAAGAAGAAATCAAGATAGGGATTCCCCTTCAGAGGAAGGTCGGCGAGAAATTATCCGTCAGAGATAGACGAGTTCCCACCCGTGGAGAAGAAGGTCGACAAACAGTGCCTGTGACCAGCAGCAACCGGTAGCTTTTGGACGGATGGCGGCAGCGCGACTACCCGGCGCGGCAGCCCGCGACTCAAATTGACGGGGCTGCATCAGAGATTAGGTGCTTGTGGATTTTCTCTTCAATTTAATTTTTTTATCTGTTTGTATAGCTGAACAAGTTTTCTTAACAGGGTAAAAATTGATTTCTTCTTAGGAAACCCTACCACGTCACCTCGGAGGCTCCGCCACTGGAGGAAGTGGACAATGCCTCCAACACGTAGGGTTTGTTTCTCCACCTATAATATTTGATTCTTCTAACGTCGTTTATAACGAAAGAAAAAAGAAAGCAACTTGAAATTGGACCACTAAGTTTGATCTGAATGTTACCATATTGCACTTCACTTTAATTTTTTTATTTTTATTTTTTATTTTTTTTTCATATTGGAACAGTAAGTCAGCTGTGTTGCTTGCGAGGTAAGAATGGTTCAGATAAAGCAACATTTTTTTATCAAAAATTCGAAATGTGTCGGAGAATTTGCCGAGGTGGATTGTCTCTTGTTGCTCCGCCTAATACTTATTATTGTTCTTAAGATATGTGTACCCATCTGATTCTTATGTGTGCAGCTCTAATTTTTACCGTCGTTAGGATCAGTTTATGACTCAGATTTTGTGTTGTTTTTTATCCATAAAAAAAAAACCCCAAATTCTGGAGTCCTCTGTATATTTTTGGTTAACATTTTAGAAATTTCATACTCATGTTATTGTTTCGTTATTGTCATGCTCAAGGCTGTGCATTAAGCTGTTGGGCTATTCTTCACCATTTTTTGTCTCTAGGTCCATTGGTGTGTTTATGTTAATATCTCAAAAATTATATGATATCAAAGTGTATAAGGTATTCGAGCATAGTTCAAAAATTACTCACATGATGAGCAAACCAGTTGAGAACTTATTAGCAGTAGTATAATAAGAGGACATTTAAGTCTATTGATTTGTCTCTTCAAATCTTGAAACATCTTATTATTATTTGGAATCTTAAGAGGACATCTTATTTATTGCAGGTCGCCCGACATACAAATGTTGTTACTGTGGACCGGATTGTTAGTTGTGCAGGTTTGAAGGTAAATTTCGACATTTTGGTGTGTAATTTATACATATTTCTCCTGTGGCTTAATTTTTCTAGATTATTTATGGATAATATTTGGAATGTAATATTAAAGTTTGGCAATTTAGCTTACGGTGGCCACCATAACAGCTAGAAAAGTCATAGCCTTGGCCAATAAAGAGACACTAATTGCTGGAGGGCCTTTTGTCCTTCCTCTTGCGCACAAGCACAAAGCCAAGATTCTTCCTACAGATTCCGAATATTTAGCTATATTTCAGGTACATATAAATTCTAATATGGTGCATCCGTATAAATTCTAATATGAAATTGTTCTTTATCATCGTGTAGTTTTTATAAGTTCAGTGTATACAAGACTTTTGCCCGAAGGTGCTCTGAGGCACATTATTTTGACGGCATCACGAGGAACTTTCCGGTTAGGTAATTTTTTGAGATTCTTTGAATTAAAAATTTTATAATTGGTATGGAAGGTGCATAGATTAACTCTCATGTGGATATAAAAGTTAGAAGGATTTATTGCTTTCTTGAGTCTAATTACGTGTCTTTAATTCTTTATATGGGATTGAGCTGCATCTGGTGGAAATATTTTTCTTTCTTATATGTATGCACTCTTTTTATTTTCTTTGTAGTATATATGATTAAATTTTGCTAAATCAAAGTGTAGATTGGGATAGGGATTTGTCAATTGATAAATTTTAAGATGTAAAAGTTGCAGATGTTTTAAAGCATCCCAATTGGGAAATGGGGAAACAGATTAAGGCCGACTCCGAGTCTGCTACATTCATAATAATAATAATAAAAATATTGAAATTAATTGCATATTGCATGATCATTTTTTTTTTTTTTTGGGTTTTAACGTGGATAATTCATGTGGTTTTAATAGGGTTTCGAAGTTAAAGAAGCTCACTATCTTTTTGTAGCCGAATATGGTGATATTAAGATTGTTGGATTAGATCACGGGGTGGAAGATGACGCATAGTTCAACTCATTAGCTTGGTAGCCACACGATTTCGGCCGAAGAACAACTTCAGAAACTATTTAATTTGTCGTGGTTATTTTTCTACTCAATTTGAACATTGCCGTGGGCCGGCTGTGCATCGCACAGCCAATAGGCTCCTAGTGACATTATATATTTGTCGGTTTGTCTTTCCGCTATAACAATATAAATGTTTTTTATAATTGGTCATTGTCAGACTTTTATTCATCATTACATTACATATCAAACTAATACAGAAGGGACGCACAACTTATTAGTTATGACTCACGATAAAAATGTAGACTTATAAACTGAAAAACTCGGTTTCATGCACTTCACTTCTTGTGCGTAGCAATTATATGAAATTTTTCTTGTTCACTTACATTGATTTTTCTTTTTTTAGTTAAAAGGAATATAAAAAAGAAATGAAAAAAAAGGGGAGGGAAAAGAAGATTTATTTATTTATTTAAAAATAAAAAAAATTAAGTGAACAAAAACCAAAACATTTAAAAACATGTAGACAAATATCAAAACCACGTATTTTGAAAATATGTTTTTTAAAAAAAAAACGTATTTTCAAAATACATTTTATAATGTAAAATACTGTAAAACGTATTCATATAATACGTTTTAAACAAATTAATAAATAAAATGTATTTTGGTTATACGTTTTACAAATAATTAAGAACTAAACAAATAATTAAAAACTAAAACGTATTTTAAAATTAATGAATATAAAAATTAATATATAGTATGTGTTTTGTGTTTTGGGTTCGTTTGGGCTCGTCTGAACTCGGAATTGAGTTCTGTTTTTTTCTATACGTAGCTAACGAACCCATCTATTCAATGATGCTTGCATGGCCAAATTATTCTTGAAATCATATTCTCCCAAAGCTCTTGACCGATACATTAAACGTGTTTCCCGCAACTTTGCTTTTTGGGCCCGTTCAGACTCGTCCGAGCTCGAAATTGATTACTGCTTTTTCCTATATGTCGCCAACGTACCCGTCTACACAACCATGATTTCCCGGTCAATTTTCGGGCTAAATATGTTCCTCACGGGCTAAATAATTAACAAATCACCCATTATATATGATTTGTTAATTTTTTAGCCCCGTGAGGAATAGATTTAACCCGAAAATTGACCGGGCAATCATGGTTGTGTAGATGGGTTCGTTGGCGACATATACAAAGAAGCAGAAATCAATTTCGAGCTTGGACGAGTCCGAACGGGCCCAAAAAGCAAAGTCGCGCGAAACACGTTTAATGTGTAGTCAAGAGCTTTGGGAGAATATGATTTTAAGTATCATTTGGTCATGCATGTGTTAGAATATCACTTGTGAGTTGTCCCACATCGTATATACATGGAAAATAGACCCACCTTATAAGTCTAATGGGCTACTCCTCTTTCCACCAATTGGTTTTTGGATGGAACCCCATTTGGGCTTCATATGAGCTTTTCCCGTTCATGGTGCGCTTCATGGTAGTGGGCCCGCACCCGTTTTTCCCCAGTTTCTGTCAGCATGCATCATTGAATAGAGAGGTTCATTAGCTACGTATAGAAAAAAACAGAACTCAATTTCGAACAGGCGTTGTTGTCGTTCGTGGTCACGACGTCTTCTACCTCCACCAATGTTGGCAGGGGGTTGATGTCTCGCCCTCTGTGACTGTGTTTTTTGGGATGAGACGTACTCCTCCTCGGATAGAACTTGACTGAACGACGCTCCTAGTGTGACCTCTTGGCCTCCAACAGTCAGAAAACTATATGAAATTTTCGGGTTCAATCTATTCCTCATAGGCTAAATAATTAACAAATCACTCATAATATAAATAGATGGTACACGGTGGATTTGTAAGTGATTTGATAATTATTTAGCCCTGTGAGTAATAGATTTAACCTAAAAATTGACCGGACAATCATGGTTGTGTAGACGGCTTCGTTGGCGACATATAGGAAGAAACGAAACTCAATTTCAAGCTAAGACGAGTCCGTACGGGCATTATTGTCGTTTGCGGTCACGGCGTTTTCTACCTCCACCAATGTTGGCAGTTGATGCCTCGCCTCTGTGTGATTGTGTACTCTGGGATGGGACGTAGTCCTCCTCGGATAGAACTTGACTGAACGACGCCCCTTGTGTGACCTCCTGGCCTCCAACAGCCAGAGAACTATAGGCAATGTTGTAGGACTGTTGGTAAGATAACTATAGACAATGTTGTAGGACTGTTGGAATGCGGCCTGCGCCCGTGGAGGGAGTGTAGAAAATATGTCTTGAATATTCGCTAACGAGTTATAAACCCCATCCAGGGCTTGAGTTTAAAATAAAATTCAAAATAATTAGTATGAAATACCAAAAAAGAAAAAAATAATTAATAAAAAACTACAAATTATGAACACTTACATCGCACTTCTCCCGCTCAGCAAATGTCTGATAGTTGCCGTCCTGTTGGACCACCGTGTACTTGGTAGGGTCACTGATAAATCTTACAGTCCTAGTGTAAAACCAATCAATGTAACCCTACTCAGCCTGTAGAAAGTGATCCACAGTGGCATCTTGGAGGACATTTTGTTCTCTTTCATCGACTCAGCCCTTGGTAAGTTGTGAATGAAAGGCGGCCCGATCACCAAATGCCCTCCCAGTCATTCCACGACCTCTGTGGTGTGTCCCTCATTCTTGCTCACCACTAATCATCGTATTTTGGGGGATGGACTGCTGACACCCAAACTGACGGAGAACCTTATCAGACAAGTGGACTTCACGTATGTTCCAACAGAAGATCCACCCCCTATACATCCAAATATGTTGATCTTCTGTGCACTCATCCGGGAGAGTACCTATAGTTCTCTGATTGTTGGAGGCCAAGAGGTCACACAAGGGGCGTCATTCAGTCAAGTTCTATCCGAGGAGGACTACGTCCCATCCCAGAGTACACAGTCACACAGAGCGAGGCATCAACCCACTGTCAACATTGGTGAAGGTAGAAGACGCCGTGACCGCGAACGACAACAACGCCCGTTCGCACTCGTCTAAGCTCGTAATTAAATTCCGTTTTTTTCTATACGTAGCTAACGAGCCCTTCTATTCAATGATGCATACTTGACCAAATTATTCTTGAAATCATATTCTCTCAAAGCTCTTCACTTATACATTAAACGTATTTCGTGCGACTTAGTTTTTTGGGCCCGTTCGGACTCGTCCAAGCTCGTAGTTGAGTTTCGTTTCTTCCTATATGTCGCCAACGAACTCGCCTACACAACCATGATTGCCCAGTCAATTTTTGGGTTAAATCTATTCCTCACGGGGCTAAATAATTAACAAATCACCTATTAACAACTCCTCCATGGACCATCTATTTATATAATGAGTGGTTTGTTAATTATTTAGCACGTGAGAAATAGATTTAGCCCGAAAATAGACCAGGCAATCATGGTGGTGTAGAATGGTTCTTTGACGACATATAGGAAGAAGCAGAAATCAATTTCGAGCTTGGACGAGTCCGAACGGGCCCAAAAAAAAAAGTCGCGCGAAACACGTTTAATGTATCGGTCAAGAGCTTTGGGAGAATATGATTTCAAGAATAATTTGGCTATGCAAGTATCATTGAATAGAAGGGTTCGTTAGCTACGTATAGGAAAAAACGGAACTCAATTCCGAGTTCAGACGAGCCAAAAATACAAAATACATACTATATATTTATTTTTTTTCATTAATTTTAAAATATAAAACGTATTGTCATAATACGTTTTATAATTATTTATAAAACGTAAACGTATTATGACAATACGTTTTATTTCTTAATTATTTATTAAACATTTTTAATTATTTATTAACGTATTATCAAAATACGTTTTATTTATTAATTTTTTTATAAAATATATTATTGAAATACGTTTTATACTGATTATTTTAAAAAAATATTTATAAATATAATTTTAAAACGTATTACCATAATACGTTTTTTAAAAAAAATTAATTAAAAAAACGTATTATAAAAATACGTGTTTTTTATTTTTGTCTACAATTTTTTTTNAACTACCCGGGAAAAGAAAGCGAATTCCCAAGTGAAAATTTCGAACTAAGAACTGCATATGCGCCGTCCACACTAAAAAATAAAAACCCTCTTCTCATTCCTTCCTTCCAATATCTCGACAAGAAAACAAAATTCCCTAAAAATGTCGGACTATCTTCCTCAGGAAGTATGGGCCGACGTTTTCCTCCGGCTACCCGTCAAGACGCTGATCGGAATCCGGTCGGTCTGTAAGTATTTCGACCACATCATCCGCAGCCCCTCTTTCATCTCCGACCACCTCGCAATCTCCAAGCAAAATCAAATCCCTCTCGTTCGATACCTTAGGGGCAGAGAAAAATCCAAGCGCAAAGAGCACTACGCGCTCATACCCAATAACCTCGAATACCTCGAAGACATTCGAGAAATCGATTTCCCATTTAGGTCTGAATGCTACAAACATTTCAATGTAATCGGAGCCTGCAACGGGTTGATCTGTTTGTCCGATGAGGGTAACCGTCGTGCTCGTGGGATTATACTGTGGAACCCATCAATCAAAAGGTACTTATCCCTCCCCAAACCTCAATTCTCTCTCAAATCCCTCGAGGTGTTTAATTTCACGTATGTGGTCGGTTTCGGGTATGACTGCTGGTCAGACGACTATAAGGTGTTGAGGATTACATATGTGAATGGAATCAGAAGCGGGAAAAAGCGGCCTAAGCCGGGTCCCGTGGCTGAGATGTACACGGTCAAGTCGGGGTCTTGGAGGAATTTAAATATAGATGAGCTAACTTGTCCTAGTGGGTATACCAATCAGGCTTTCATGCGGGGATGCTTGCATTGGCTGAAAGGGTCATCTCCGATTGTTTGTTTTGATTTGAGAAATGAGGTGTTTAATGGCGGGATAGGCTTACCCGAGGGTGTAAACGGGTGGCATTCTCACTTGGCGGTGCTCGGGGAAAAGCTTGCCCTTGTAGAGGATCACACCCCGGTTAAGGGGATTGCTGATGTGTGGGTGATGGAGGAGTATGGGGAGGTGGGGTCGTGGAGGAAGCTATACCATGTTGGTACAATGCCGGGATATTTCTTGTTCGTGGGGTTCACGGACAATGGGAACATAATGGGCACCTTAGACCGTAACAAGCTTTATTGTTATGATCCGGACAAGGATTTCTTGAACAATCTGTGCACTCGTGGGGCTGTGGACTCGTTCCACGTGGAGATGTATGTGGAGAGTTTGGTTCTATTTGATGGGGAGAGTGCCGTTCCCAGGTCAGAGGCTATTACCTTGGAAGGTGAAGATTGGTGAGAATATTGGGTCGAGTGTCGTAGTGTGTTTAGTCCAGTGTTCTTCGTAGGTCTTGATTGTTGTTAGTTTTTCGGATCATCCCGTGTGAGTCTTTTATGCTATCTCTGTTTTTGGCTTTTGGACCAGAAAAATGTTTTGTGGTTTGTTAATTTTCTGCTGACTTGGGGAATGTAACAAGTATTGGTTTGAATCATCATGGATCATGAACCCAATTTCCTTTTCCTCTTAAATTTCAATTCATGGTGATCATTTGAAACAAAAATAATTATATTTTTAGTTAATATATTTAAGATTTTAATATTTTAAGAGAGAAATATTAAAACTTATATTTGTAGGCCAATGGCACGCTACATCCATCGGCCAAGTGGATCTGGTACTACTTAGTCCAACTTGACCTAATGCCATCGCTACTGGCGTACTATCACTCACTTTATTTTTATAATGTTGTTTCGGATTCGAAGTACCTTCTTCTAAGTTCTAATTTTGCCCTCAACTTAATTTTCTTCAGATACAAATTTATGTTTTTGCTGATTTTGATCCTTCTTGTGCTTGGCCTCTTCTTGTGCGCCTTAGTCGTTGGATTACCTTCATCCAATTTTACCGAAAGTTAAGAGTCGGCAACTACAATGTTCCTGCATTCAAGAAAAAAAAAATATGAAACCTCATGAACATCCATTTCTTCAATCTGAAAAAAAAAAGGGAAAATAAGATTAGTTTTGGCGTAATGATAATTTTCACGAGAAAGGTTTTGATTTTATAGTGAAAAATCCGTGCATGTATCTTGTTTGGCCGTAATATTGAACAACTGAGAGAGGATACTCCATGGACTGGTGTGCTATATGCCAAGAGAACAGAGAACTGAAAGGCCGCCTATCAGACGACACCCCAATGCGGATGACTGTAGTCAATCCGCCTCCCGTACAAGAAATGAACGCCTCGAGTTACAGCCACCACTCAGCACTACCACCGGCTAATAGTGGTGAACAAGTTAATGTAGAGATGCAGGCTTTGTAGAAAATCTCCATCAAGAAAAATATGCTTTAGATTTAGTTAAAAGTTAAAAATCCTTCATGTCGTTTCACTGTAGGAATGTAAGTGGTATAACTTTTTGAGTTTCCCTATTGTGTACACAGTACAAGATCATCTTATTCCTTGATGAGACCTCATATGAGTGCACTTTTTTTAGTTTTCTTCCTGAAAAGAGCATGTATGGTGTTTATATTATCCTGATGTTGAAGGGGTAGATTTGAG